GGTGCTTTATTATTTTGCATGCTTTTCAATGCGGAGTGAAGTTCGGAGTTGAAATTACAACTACATTAGATAATGTTATGAAAAAAACAAACAAGAAACGTTGGAAAGAATGATACTTTTAAAAAATAACACTAAAAAAACCAGTAGGTGGCAGCAGGCGACCGTCTTAAATGAAGCGAGTCATTGAGTCTTTATTCAAATGATTTGTTCAAATGACTGATTTATTCAAGAATGAGGCAGTTCCTTATGAATGGGTCATTAAATCTTTGACTTTGATTGATTTGTTCAAAACGTTGAATCATTCAGTAACAAAAATACAGTTGAGCGTTGCTTTGAGATGCACTATGGTTCTGCTGTGATCTTTGTTTGGATTTTTTTTCGCTGTTGAAATGGAACTAAAATATTCAATAGTGCATCTAAAATGTAAGCGACTCAATTTTAACTCTTTAATGAACTGTTGTATGTATGAAATGTCACATTTTCAATCATGATGTTATTCAGGCAAACACTCGTCATGTGAGGCTGTATCATATGTTAAAGGGATAGTTCACTTTGAAATTCATTTTTGATATGTTTTAGCTTACCTCAAGGGCATCCAAGATGCAAGATGTTATTGTTTCCACACTATTTTCAATTTTGACATTTTTCAGTCAAACCGTTGTTGTCTATCAGTCATATAATGCAGGTATGGGAGTCCATGTCAAAGAGCATGCACAGAGAAGTCAAAATTAAACATGATTCAACGACTCGTAAATATAAGTACACATTAGGTGCGTTTCCATTACAGATTTGCGCAAAACTTTTGCGATATTTTCCAAATGTCGATAAAAAACGATTGCGAAATGACGGTGTTTCCATTAACCGATGTTATGCGACTAAAATGTCTTTTTTTCCTCTCGTGATAGCCTAAAGGCCTGTTAACACCGGGATGAATTTCTCGCGCGATATTCGTCGACGTTTAACGCCTTGTGACTAAACAATGGGCGCCAATGTGAGTGTTCACACCGACGCGAAAACCGTCACGCGCAAAAGCCTCATTTTTAAAAAAATGCCTCGGGTTCGCTTTTTTGGTTTGACGCGCCGCGTCAAAACCTATCCGACCAACAAGATTGGCGGGTTTGCTCACGTGTCTGGTACTTCTGAAGTTGCAGTAAAACACAGCTTGGGGGCGCTCAAACACAAAACGGTCTTGCCGAGCACAAGAAGAGAGCCTACAAGGCAAGATAACTATGGGCAAGATGAATGTTGAGCTGCTGGTCTCGGAGCATAAAGAGCTATATGATAATATTTATATTAGTATTTCTGTAATAATAGTATAGTATAGGGTGACCAACAGTCCTGTTTTCCCGGGACATGTGTAAAACGGTCACTTTGTGCTTTATAGAAATCTGAGTTGAGATGAGAACTGCGCATAGTGTGCGTAGTGTCAGTTAGATTTTGACAAGTGAGGAGAGGAGATAACCGCTCTGCCGACTCTTTGTATTCTTTCTTTTATTTTATTTTTCTATTGTGACCAGATGTTTGTTTGTGTGTTTTTTCTCGCTCGATCCCCATGTATGAGGACGAGTGTAATGTTTGAGTGGTTTTATTAAACCGACAACTCTCGTCCATCTGTTCATCCGACAACTAGTGCTATGTTTTTATCTCTGGGCAACATCTCAAGTTTGCGTTACACATGTCCTGTTTCCACGTCCTGTCCTGGCTGTTTTTAAGTGATGAAAATGTCCTGGTTTTCAAAAAAACTGCTGGGAAAGATCAATTCTACAGCAAAATATAGATGGGCAAACAAGGTGGATGAGGAAGAAAAACAAGATAAAGAGAATGAAAATTAAAGATATAAATAGATTTTATTTGTTCGTTTTTGAAAGTTTGTGAGAGCTATTTTTTGTTACATTTGGAGGCATTTCTTTTAGTTATTTATTTTTTATATATTTATATTTCTAATGATTTTTCTATCATTATTTCATTCGTTTTTTTTAATCTGTCATAATAAAACATTGAGACATGAATATGATCACCCTAGTATAGTATTCTATTATTATTTCTGTTTTACATTAAGCGCCATCTAATGTCAGGAATTTGCATGTTCGCTTGGCTCATCGTCAGCGAAAAACGCTTGGGTGTGAACACAAAAAACGTGTTGAAAAACGCT